AATCATAGCGGCGAGCAGCTGCTCGTTCCTCGCTCCCCCTGCACACTGCACGCCCAACGACGCTGATATTCAGCCCGACTCTAAAGTATGCTTGAAAATCGTAAAGCGTACGCCACGTCAGATCGTTTCCCCCTTAGTTATTTTAATCATTCGTTCACTTTTTCCTAAATAAAACCACTGTTTTGTTGTATTTTGTGCTTCAATACGCTTAACACGACAAAGCGAGTAATGTGGTTAATAAGGCAGCAACGATTAGTCGACGTAATCAACAACGTCAACAATAAAAATTCGTCGACGTGAAATTTCATTGTCGACGCATCGTTACAGAGAGGCTGTTTAAGGGAGAGACAGCAATCTTCTGATTAAGAACATTTCTGGTTCATTTCTAACTGCAGTGCACTACAGGAAGTGCAGGGGGCAGTATCGCTGCCACTGTCCGTGAGACTACTCACGAAGAAGAAGCATTCAGGCGAGAAGAAGCGGAGAAACAGAAAGTTTTGTAGCCGTTTCATCACTAAATACACTTGTGAGCGGTTTTGAGGAGAGAAATCAGCTGTGTAGAACTTGGATATTGGCAGTTTTACAAAAGTTGGTGGCGAATCGAAAATGTTCTCAAACGTTTTCGGGGGTTCAGAAGCTCCAAAAGCGGCGTCAGCCAGCCAGCCAGTCCCGCCCACAGAGCGCCCTGGTCCCAGTTACTCAGACCGCTGCAGCAGCAACAACAGACGAAAGGCAGTGTTTCCTATACGTTCATTTATTTGTGACGGCCCGCCACAACATCAACACTGACCGCCACAAACTGATTCTTTTACTTGGCCCATTTAAAATCTTATTTGATTGCAGATCAGCGTCTCTCTCTCTCTCTCTCTCGAACATCGCAGCACAAATCTGTGCAACACAACGCTGCTGGTCAGAGACCCAGCTTTAAAAAAGTTATTATTAATGAGTAAAGGTTTAAAGTACATCAAGGAACATCTGGCTGGTGATGTTGCCTACAGAACATTCTCCACTTATAAAACCTATAAGCACTTTGGAAAAATAACCTGCAGCAGCAGAAAGAAAGGTGCCTGTTGCTTTATTGTTCTAAACAGACTCAAACACTGTATTTGAGCTCATTTTTGAGTGTCATGGCAAACGCTGTGAATACTTATGTACGTGAGCTTTTTTAATTTTAATTTTTAATAAATAAAGATTTCAAACAAATGTCTTTCACGTTGTCATAATGGGGTACTGTTTGTAGATTTCTATGAGGAAAACAATGAATTTAATCCATTTTGGAAGAAGGCCGTAACAACAAAATGTGTATAAAGTGAAGTGCTGTGAATACGGCGTTCTCTTATAATATATTATACTGTTTATACATAGTGTTAACGAACAGTATATTACAGGCCTATTCAGAGTTATTTAGAGAAAAACCCAGAAGAAATCATTCAATAATCGATAATTATCACGATAAGTGTCAAATCATTATTTCTTTCAAGTTTAAAGGCTGATTTTTGGCCCTGAATGAAAAGGACCAGATGGTTCATTATGTGGTTAAACTTTACTTTATGGTCAGAATGTGACAAACAGTGGATCACTTCACAACTCTGAAGAAATTAAGAGAAAAATTAAGTGCCAATTTGTTTGTGATTCTAATGAATAAAATCAAATGATTATTGACGATATATTGAACATTTGTTATTTTGTTATTGAGGAAAATTATATTGTGATAATTATCATTACTCTTTTATTGCCCAGCCCTAATAAATAAATATGTGAATTCTCAAACTGTCCAAAATTCAATGTATGAAACAAGAGAAGTGCTTTCTGTTAAAGTTTCCCTGATCTAACTTTCCCTGCCTGGAATAAGCACCCTAACGCTCCACGATTTCCCAGATGTCTATAAATAGAGCTGGCCTGTCCTCCCAGCATCCTTTGCTGCAGCTGGGGATGAAGTGTAGCAGAGATGAGATGATGGAGAAGAAGCCTCCGTGACAAGTCTTTTCATGTCCTCCGAGTCCTTTGTCTTGGTGATAAATTTACATCAGGGCAGCTGTAAATCTTTGCGTTGGGGACGAACAGGAGGCCAGCTGCACTTTACTACCACACCCCCCCTCCTCTGGTTACAGAAAGCCTCACTAAATCTGCCCTTGTCCTTCTCTGCAGGTTCAACCCCCTCCTCCATTTTCCTGCCGTCAGGATTTTCTTTGTCGCCATTCATCTCCTGTGTTGCCATGGCGCTGCTGAAGAGAGCGAGCGAGCGGAGATGAAAAAATAAAAGGAATAATAATAATAAAAAGAGGAGTGAACAGTGCGTCTCCACAGCCTTCAGCGTCTTTGTGGGGATGTGAGGGGCCATTCATTGCGTTATCGCGGCGGAGGTGTTGGAGATAGCTGCCTGCTGACGTCAGGCCGGGGACGGGCGGCCGCCGCAGATCAAACGTGGAGGAAACAATGAAGAGCGGGGCGTGGAGATTTCTACCGCCAGAGAGCGTGAGCAGAAAGAGCGCCGAGGAGAAGGTGTGGATGTCCTGCAGTCGGCCCGCTGCCGCTCTGTGTTTAGTGTGATGTGAATCATGAAATCGCTGTACAGCTCAGAGTTCCTCTACATTATAACGACACCACATGTGAAACGTGCCGCTGAGGTAACCGGCTCCTCTCCCAGCCCGTGTTCAGCCCGCGGCCTCCTGATGCTGCACATCTGCATCCGTTAATGGTTTCATGAGTCTACAGCCGTGCGAGCAGCTCTGAGAGGCTGCACGGCGACGGATGGCGAGATACATCAGCACGAATCAACGTGCAGGACCGACGAATACGATCTCCGTCCACGCCAGCGTTTTAGCTGCGAAACTGAGAACGCACATCTGGTGGCCGTTCTCGCACACTGGGCACGTGCGAGCCGGTGTGATCGGGAAGCAGATTGTCTACGCCGCAGTTTCTGAAGAACGTTCTACTAGAGACGAACAACAAGCAGCGATGGTTTGAGCGTTAGCGTTTCCCCTTGTGCAGTGAGGCGCCAGACACCCATCACATCAACAGCACACTCACCATCATAATACGTGGTTTCTATTTACGGAGACCAAACTGATGGAAAACGTCCACAAATCCGTCACATCGTGGATTTTGTTGAAGGAGCAGTTCAACATTTGGGGAAATGTTCCAACAGAGCTGGAGCCACGAGACGCTAAGCTAAGCACAGGAAACAGCTCGCCTGGCTGGTTCCAGCCGCTAACTCCGCCTTTTATTTCCATTTCTGTCAGTGAACACACTAAACAAACAAGATTATAAGTGAGCTTTAGAGCACTCAACCGTTCTCAACCGTTTTCATGTCAAGGGCCCCCAAACTGACACTAATCAGACCACTGATTGATAGAACTTTAGCTTTTAGATGTTTTATTACTCACAGTGACCAAAACAATCTCACATCCTAGCCGGTAAGTCATTGTGGTACTTGTGGATGGAATTATAGTGAAAACTAATTATTCCCCTTTCTGCTGGGGACCCCGTGGAACCCCTCAAGGACCCCGGACCCCACTGCTTTAGAGGACAGAGCCAGGCTAGCTGTCTCCTAAGCTAGACTAGAACCACATCTTAACCTCAGCTAGGATCTACGGCCATGAAGTCAGAACCGGCAGAACATTTAGGATCTACGGCCATGAGGTCAGAACCAGCGGAACATTTAGGATCTACGGCAATGAAGTCAGAACCGGCAGAACATTTAGGATCTACGGCCATGAGGTCAGAACCAGCGGAACATTTAGGATCTACAACCATGAGGTCAGAACCAGCAGAACATTTAGGATCTACAACCATGAGGTCAGAACCAGCAGAACATTTAGGATCTACGACCATGAGGTCAGAACCAGCAGGACATTTAGGATCTACAACCATGAGGTCAGAACAAGCAGAACATTTAGGATCTACGACCATGAGGTCAGAACCAGCAGGACATTTAGGATCTACGGGCTTGACGTTAGAACCAGCGGAACATTTAGGATCTACGACCATGAGGTCAGAACCAGCAGAACATTTAGGATCTACGGGCTTGACGTTAGAACCAGCGGAACATTTAGGATCTACGGCCTTGAGGTCAGAACCAGCAGAACATTTAGGATCTACGGCCTTGACGTCAGAACATTTAGGACCTACTGCCATGAAGTCAGAACCAGCGGAACATTTAGGATCTACGACCATGACGTCAGAACATTTAGGACCTACTGCCATGAAGTCAGAACCAGCAGAACATTTAGGATCTACGGCCTTGAGGTCAGAACCAGCAGAACATTTAGGATCTACTGCCATGACGTCAGAACCAGCAGAACATTTAGGATCTACGACCATGAGGTCAGAACCAGCAGAACATTTAGGATCTACGACCATGAGGTCAGAACCAGCAGAACATTTAGGGTCTACTGCCATGACGTCAGAACCAGCAGAACATTTAGGATCTACGACCATGAGGTCAGAACCAGCAGAACATTTAGGACCCACAGCCATGAAGTCAGAACCAGCAGAACATTTAGGATCGACGACCATGACGTCAGAACATTTAGGACCTACTGCCATGAAGTCAGAACCAGCGGAACATTTAGGACCTACAGCCATGACGTCAGAACCAGCAGAACATTTAGGACCTACTACCATGAAGTCAGAACCAGCAGAACATTTAGGATCGACGACCATGACGTCAGAACATTTAGGACCTACAGCCATGACGTCAGAACCAGCAGAACATTTAGGACCTACTGCCATGAAGTCAGAACCAGCAGAACATTTAGGATCTACGACCATGACGTCAGAACATTTAGGACCTACAGCCATGACGTCAGAACCAGCAGAACATTTAGGATCTACTGCCATGAAGTCAGAACCAGCGGAACATTTAGGACCAACATTCAGAACTTTTGGATGTGAAAGTCGTGGATGAAAAGGCAGATTCATTTTTCTCTGTTTAAAAACGGATGAAGATGTGATGGGATGATCTCAATACCAGAGCGGAGTGGGGGGGCGGGGTTTACCTGGATCGGGGGGTAGGGGTTGGAGGAGCAGGAGGGGAGGGGGCTGTCCTCGCCGTGGGGATAGAGAGTGGAGGGCGTAGGGGAGGGGAGCTCCGGGAGGTGCTGTCCTAACACAGAAGAGCCGTCAAAGATGCACTCCAGAGACGCTACCTACAGGATACAGGAGGGGAGGAAAGACGGAGTCTCGCAGAGGTCAAAATACAGCAAAGGCAAAGAGGAGAGAGACAGTTCGTCCTTACGGAGGTCAGACAGACAGAGAAGGTGAGAGTGAGCGAGCAGAAAGGGGTTGGGAGGGTTTCCTTAAATGTTTTGTTGACTAGAGGCTCTGAAACTAGTTTGCTTCCTGTCTGTAGAGTGAGAACAAAGACGATTGGATAAATTCTTGGCCTATATTTCAGGACAAGTTGTCCGACTCCACCGTGAAGGAAACCTGACGTTCAGTCAGTGAGGCTGTTGTTGACTCTAAACTGAGCACGGCAGACTAAATGTAAAGCAAAGATCTTTACAGGGAATGATATAGTTTCCCTGGATGGCATCGCCCTGGCCTCCAGCACCACCGTGAGGAATCTTGGAGTTATCTTTGATCAGGACGTGTCGTTTAAGTCTCACATTAAGCAAATTTCAAGGACCCTGATTGCGAAAATCAGGAACATCCTGTCTAAAAATGATGCAGAAAAACTAGTCCATGCATTTGTTACTTCTAGGCTGGATTACTGCAATTCCTTATTATCAGGCTGATCGAAAAAGTCCGTTAAGACTCTTCAGCTGATCCAGAATGCTGCAGCACCTGTTCTGACAGGAACCAGGAAAAGAGATCACATTTCTCCTGTTTTAGCTTCTTTGCATTGGCTTCCAGTAAAATCCAGAATAGAATTTAAAATCATTCTTCTTACCTACAAAGCTCTTAATGGTCAGGCACCATCTTATCTTAAAGAGCTCATAGTACCTTACTACCCCACCAGAGCACTGCGCTCCCAGAATGCAGGGTTACTTGTGGTTCCTAGAGTCTCCAAAAGTAGACTAGGAGCCAGAGCGTTCAGCTATCAAGCTCCTCTCCTGTGGAACCAGGTTCCAGTTTGGGTTCAGGAGGCAGACACCATCTCCACATTTAAGAGTAGGCTTAAGACTTTCCTCTTTGATAAAGCTTATAGTTAGGGCTGGCTCAGGTGAGTCCTGAACCATCCCTTAGTTATGCTGCTATAGGCCTAGGCTGCCGGGGGATTTCCCATGATGCACTGAGCTCCTCTCTCCTCTACTTTCTCCCCTCTGTATGCAACCTCATCCCATTATTGCATGTTACTAACACAACTTCTCCCTTTCTGGTAGTCTTGTGCTTTCTCGTCCCTCTCCTCTCTCCTCCTATCACTTCCTGCAGGTGTTTCTGGCTCTGGAGCTGTGGAGTCTGGATCTGTGGTTGCGGGTCACCTGCTGCCCCCGTGTTCCTGCTCGACACCCTCTGCTGCAACAACTATTGTTACTAGTCCTCTTGTTGTTATTGTTATTATAATCATTAACATTACTATAAATATCTGTACCATTTTTTATTTAGTCTATAGCAACATCACCTTTACGGTCTGTCTAGCATAGCATCAACCAACCCTACAATAAATAGATTAACAGGCTGACTTTAAGGATCAGTCTGGAGTTCTACTGTGTTTTTCTAACAGATCATAAACCTGAATCTAATCTGTAAAGGGACAGAAAGGCAGAGACAGAAATCAGAGGTCATATGAAGGCAGACAGTTGAGGCCAAGAGAGGATGAAGACGCGACAGACGGGGGACGGCTTGGTGGGATATAACACAGACAGACCAGCTCACGATGCGATCAGGGTCCTGGAGAGCTACTGAGGCTGTTATTGGGCGGCTGCTCCCTCTGACCCCTCCCACCGATCAGCACCTTTCAAATGAGCCTCAGCTGATTGACAGGTGGAGCAGGTTCTGGTGGTTAAGTATGTGTTGTGGTCAGGGTTAAACAAATTGGGAAAATCTTTTACGACACAATGCTAGTGTGTCCCCGTGTTCGCTGGTTCATACACTAACGGCAATCAAAGAATTATTTATTTTACCCAATTAAGGCACGAAACCTTCCTGGTTGATTACTCACATTAAGACGATGTTTGTATTACAGGTTTTCTGTAGTTTCTAAATATGCAAATGAGGCAGAATCTAATAAAATATGTGCTAATTTGCATCTATTTCAGGAACTGAACTCTGGATTAAATCAGGTTCAAACTTATTGTTTTATTTTGTTGACTCAAAGGTTTCTACAGAGAGGATTTTAGATCTCTCTTTTATTATTTCATAAATCAGAAGATACTTGACGACAGGCATAAAAAAAAAAAAAACACATTCAACCTGTATGTGAGTAAAATGTTCTATAATTCAGGCTGTGAATAATATATTAACAAACCCCTTGGTGAAAACCTTCAGAGCGTAGTCAGGAATAAAAACAAAAAGTCTGGCTCAGAGGATGAGGAAAAACTGCCTGTAAAGATGTGTTAGGAAAAACTTCAAACATTTATTGACAAATATCTTTCATTTAGTATCATTTTCTTTCCACTAGTCTGACTTAAAATAAATAAAATTTAAAACAAATGATTGTGTCTAAATCTAATGTGACAGTCTGAGATGTCTGTTTTATTATTATTGTTTCATTAAGTAAATTAAAACAGGAGCACTGTGCTGTAATTTACCAGACGTTACTCATTAAGACACCAGATCAGTGGCGTCCGCTCCTGGTTTTGATCATTAACCTGATTTCAGACGCTGTGACGTCCCCTTCAGGTGTCGGTGTGTTTAAACGCCACACGGTGGCAGGAGAGCTCCACAGAGCGGCCTGAACACATCACTCCTGTTTATCTGAAGTTAATCCGATCTCATGGACTCTGTTACCGTGACCACAGCGGCGTGAAAATGTTTAAGCCCCTGTGAAAGATCAGACGCCACAGAGCAGCTGAAACTGACGGATCTTATGATATTATATCCTATACCGTTACATCAGAGGGCCACTCATTCATTTTCACTCGTTTTGACATTTTGTTTTACAACTTTTAACTTAATTTCTTTTGTTTAGTTTTCTTGTAAACAAACAAAAGTCTTGTTTACATTCAGTGTTAGAATAAAACACAGTGAGGTTTCCTTCCTCATAAAACCCTGCAGTGTTTCCATCCAGCCAACAGCCTTCTTGTTCTTCTGCCTTGGTTGGTGCGTTGCAGCGCCTCACGCCGCCTCACCTCCACCTGTAGATCTGTGGAGTAGCGTGACCGCAGGTAAACTACTACAGGTGTGCAGCTCTGTTTTTACTGTCTCATTTTAATCCTATTTGTAAATTGTTATGTTGTCCAACATAAATAAAGTTATCAAAGTTATTAATATAACATCATCATCTTGTCAGTTTGTTTTGATAATCAATTATTTTTCAACTGATTTAATACATTTCTAGCTGTTGAATGTCAAATTTAAGGACAGAAACAGATTTAGTCTCCAGCATGGGAAACTTTAAATGACTAGATCCTACATTTCCCATAATGCAGCTGGACTGTTCAAGTCTTTAACTCTACGCCTCCGGTCTGTGCGGACGTGTTCACAGGCTGAGGACGACGAACCAGGACCACTTTAGCTGACATCCCAAACTCTGATGGATGCAAAGACTAGTCAACTAATCGCCAACTATTTTCATCATCAAAAAAAGATTTTTGATTCCAGCTTCTTAAATGTGAATATTTTCTGGTTTCTTTGCTCCTCTGTTCCAGGAAACTGAATATTCTTTGGGTTTGGGACAAAAACAAGACGTTTAGGAAGCACTGATCGACATTTAACGGACCGGACAACTAATCGATTAATAAAATTACCACCACATTAATCGATGAAAGTTGCCTCGATGGATCCACATGAATATGACACAAACGGCTCACGCATGAACAGGAAGTCAGATTCTCCAGGAAGTCTGGTTCTGTTCTGTTTTTTATTAAAACAGGCTAGAACACTCTCAGCCGGGGGTTGCAGGACCAGGTCCTGGCTGACCGGGGCCATAAGAAGCGTCTGATCCAACACCGTGAGGGACGGCCCCTAATGTGGCCCCTTTAGTCACTGAGTGGCCTAAAGCTGGATGGACCAGGGATCTTCTTCTACTCTAAAACACAACTCTTCTCTTCTGCTGTCCGAGCAGAACCAACAGGTCCTGACGGAGTATCGGGTCAGGTTTGTTTTTTTCCTCTTTGCTTGTGTCTACAGCTGCAACGACTGGCTGTTAAATTAATCGTCAACAATTTGGGGGGGAAAAAAAAATTGCTTTGAGTACTTTTTTAAAATGAATCTAAAATATATTGAAGTTTCACTTTTTGAATTCCATTTTGTTTAGTTACATGAAAATCAGTGCCAAGCGTTCGACAGAGTTTTTAAAATGCAGTTTTTCCTGAGGGGTGGAGCTACAGGAAAAGTCTAAAATCACTCGACTTTTTAGCTGATAAAAAAAAGTTTCTTTACGTAAAAATGCTGGAACAGATTAAGAAAGTACCACAACATTTCAGTCTTCCGGTGAGTCGCAGGTTCATGAAGCGAGCTCACCTGGACTCCCCGGAGGAGACCGGTCTTAACCTGCTGGGGGGGGGGGGGGTCCAACAGACACCTGACTGGAGGAATTTGACTGGTGGTGCGTTTGTGTTTGTTTGACATCATGACAGCAGACAGGTGGGAGCTTCACAGCAGCTTCAAGGTTTTAATGAACCACATGGAGGCAACGCAGACAAGCAACCACCCTCATCCACCCTGTGTGTGTGTGTGTGTGTGTGTGTGTGTGTGTGTGTGTGTGTGTGTGGACTGATTCACTGTCAGTTGAAATCCATGACGACTGATGAAACTGTTTTTATTCTCATCAGGATAAAATGAGTTTATGAAGGAAAAGGTTTTGGAAATGTGACTTTAAAAGACAGTGACTCAGACCTGGTCTGTGAGAGCGTGTGGTGACTGACAGATGGACAGAAATATATATTTATTGATAATAATAAACATATATGAACAGAGAGAATATAGAACAAAGAGAACAGATAAAGAGGTTTTGACTTTACTGGCCCCTGGAGGACTTGAAGGTTTATTATTTAAGATATCAATTTGTGATTATTGGAAGTTTTGACACCATATAATAATAATAAGAGTTGTTACAGATGCAGGTATCAGAAGCTGAAAGCTAAAATTCCTCAAATTGTCGAGGGAGTCTGGCAACTTCCAGCTTTGTTAACGTTTATCCTCTTAGTGTCAGATCTGATTTTGACTAGACTGGGGGGATGATGCAGTTTTAAATGACGTCATAGATGATTTTGAAGACGCTGAAACTGGGTTTGTTCAGGTGCTCCTCATCACTTCCTAGTAGACTCAACCATTGAGGGACATGATGTAGTTCAGCCTGCATTTATTAAGATACTACATTAGTCGAATACTCGACACCACTCAGTGATATGGAAACATGATCTAGCTTTTTATTTTAAGATCACATTAATCCATTTAAATGTTGAGCTCCAGCTGAGTGCATTTACCAGCAGATATTATCACCATCTGGCAAAATTAACTTTTCGTCGCCTACAGCTCGTTAAGCTGATAATTAGAAACTCAAGTTCTTTGTCTTTTAAAGAGGTGATATTCTGCTTTTTGGATTTTTACCTCTCCTTTAAGAAAAAAACACAACCTTTATTGAGTTATTTCCCTTGTTTGTGCATGTAACAGGTTTGCAAAGTGGAAAAGGGAGTTCCCATCTCCCACAGACAACTCTCCGCTCTGAGCTGCCTAAAAACAGCTCGTTTGTAGTCCAGAGCATGTGCAACTCCCACCAAAGATCATTTAGAGACAAGATGCATCACTTTCATAGCTAAAACGAAGCCTTCAACACAGGGTGGAAAGAGGAGCTGCAGCAGCAATGTGCAGTATGACAAAATATATAAGCATGTAAACCTGTTCTGGTACAACCTCTAAATAAGATTATTGAGCAGAATACCACCTCTTTAAAGGGAAAGATTTTCCAGCCCGTTCTCATTGCAGGGTGTCAAATAAGGACGCTTTCTCAGACTTTCACAATAAACCATGTTGGATAACTTCGCAGGTTGGTCAGGTTTAGATTTTGATAAAAAATAAACGTTTCTGATCCAAGTTGAGACTTTTGAGACACACTAACAGCCAGGTCGCGTGATACTGAGGACTGCAAATGATGAACCGTTTGGGCCTTTAAAGGACGTGTTTACGACGCGTTGAGTCCTTAAATAAAAAGACTTTGGCTTCTGACGCCAGTAAAGTCGCTCACTACAGACAGAGAGAGAGGAACAGACAGCAGACCGTCTCCTACCTTCATGGGTGAGATGTGAGCGTGGGTGACGTATCCGTGCACATTTTCGATCTGGGAAAGGTTTTTCTCTGCTACCTGGACCAGCTCCGCCGCCCCTGCCTCCTCCGTCAGCTGTGGGGAGCTCTGGTCCTGGGGGGACGAGTCCTCATCGTGGTGCCTGTACTTCTGAAACAGGAAACACAAGAACACGGTTCAGCACGGGAGTTTTAGTTTTAGTCTGCGCTAAATGAAGATATTATACAGATATATTTACACAAAAACATCAGATCACAGAGGACCCATGTCTTTCTGTACAAGGTGAAGGGATTGTTGGTTCACGCCACAATCACCCAGCAGCCAGGAACCTCCAGACGACGAGTATTTTACAATCATGGCTGCAACATAATAATTAGACGCGTCTCTAAAACAAAGGTTCGGTTCACGCAAAATGAAACATACACGTGTCAGAAGTGTAAAAAACACCTCAAACTGCAATGACACATTTATGATCTTTGGTTTTCTATTCCCCAAAAAAGGGTGCGGCCATCGAGCAGTGCCGAGGCCCCTGGGTAATGTAGTATTGAGAGAAGCCAGAAATAGTTTAAACTGGTGTTCAGAATCTAAATATTTGATGGTTACATCCTCCAGGAGAGAGCTGTGTGCGCTCAGTCGGGCAGCAGCGAAGTGCCGTGGCATGAAAATCAACGTTTATCACACCTGCACGTCTTTTATTTATTTTCAGAGGGAGACTTTATACACAAAGGTTTATTTTGTGAAATAAGTTATTGGTTTTCTTCCTTTAAGGGCCATTGTTACTGCTAATAATAACTTTCTTTCTCTTCTTTTTAAACGTTGAAATGTAGATTGTAACAGGCTGTATATTAACTTACTGGGAGAAAACTGGTAGTTCTATGTAAAGTCAGACGTTGAGCATCCTTGTTTCACTGCGAAGCTTCAACTGTGAGATTGACAGTCGAATCAGGCTCCGCCCATCGAAGCATCGAATCTTTGACTATTCGGGGTCAGCTCTAAGTGATTTTTGAAGTGATCCTCTGTTTGGCATCAAGTGTTTGTCCATAAAGAAAAGTTGAACTTCACAATTAACCATCTGGTTTTTTCAATTTTCAGTCAGGAGCAAAAATCAGCCTTTAAACTTGAAAGAAAATGTTTTTTTATCATGATAACATCGCAGTTGAAGAAACCTGATGGTTAAATTGTGGTTTAAACTTTTCTTTATGGACAGAACAAAATCTAATAAAAAACTAATATGCACGAGTAAAATTAAGTAAAAGCCGTTTGTCCTGTTTGTTTCCTCAACAAAATAACCATCTTAATTAAGTTCTAATTCGTGTCAAGTGAATAATAGAAAACATTTATTGAATATTTATAGAACATGTGTTATATTCTTATTGCAAAAAAATCACATTGCGATAATTAGTTATCGTTTTATTGTCCAGCCCTGTAACAATCTCATACCGTTGCGCACCTGGTGTTCAGTAACGTGGAGGAGATGGTCTAAAAAAGAAGATCTGAGAGGGAAACAGACCGGATTAAAAGAAGTGGACGTACTATGATGTCACCGGTTGGTTTGTGGACTCGAGTTTGGCATTTTGGCCGCTGCCATGTCGATTTTTGGCAACCAGGCACTGGACGTGACCATATTTGGATGAAATGGTGGTCGCTATGGTAGAGACTTGTCAATCAGCTTGTAGCCCCGCCCTAAAGCCTGCCCTGCTTCCTGGTCTCTGTTCCTCTAAATGGGACCATAATTTACTAAATGAACATCATGCTGTGTTGAAGAAGACTTGAAACTAGAGACTGAGACCAGAAACTCATCAGGAAAGAGTTTACTGAGGGAATAAATCAGCTGAGAAGTAGAAACATTTTCTCACAGACTTCTATACAATCACACTTCTTTCTACAGCCGCCAGAGAGGACGCAGGTTTACGGCGCCCCCCGCTGGCCGCCAGAGAGGACGCAGGTTTACGGCGCCCCCCGCTGGCCGCCAGAGAGGACGCAGGTTTACGGCGCCCCCCGCTGGCCGCCAGAGAGGACGCAGGTTTAAGGCGCCCCCCCGCTGGCCGCCAGAGAGGACGCAGGTTTAAGGCGCCCCCCCGCTGGCCGCCAGAGAGGACGCAGGTTTAAGGCGCCCCCCCGCTGGCCGCCAGAGGGGACGCAGGTTTACGGCGCCCCCCCGCTGGCCGCCAGAGAGGACGCAGGTTTACGGCGCCCCCCCGCTGGCCGCCAGAGGGGACGCAGGTTTACGGCGCCCCCCCGCTGGCCGCCAGAGGGGACGCAGGTTTACGGCGCCCCCCGCTGGCCGCCAGAGAGGACGCAGGTTTAAGGCGCCCCCCCGCTGGCCGCCAGAGGGGACGCAGGTTTACGGCGCCCCCCCGCTGGCCGCCAGAGGGGACGCAGGTTTACGGCGCCCCCTGCTGGCCGCCAGAGAGGACGCAGGTTTAAGTTGTTGCCGCTAAAACTCACGGTCAGAAGCACCAACATCAGACCCGAGCTGTGATAATCATCCTTTAGGAGGGACTGAAAACAAAAGCAGAGCACAGACGTGGGCCGAGGCGACGCTGACATTTTCCTCTTCACGCCGTCTCTGTGGATCCACAGACATCCTGATGAGTCAGAGTCTTACTCATCTGTTGTCCGGCTTTAAACAGGAGGGAGGTTCATGTTGACAGGCAGCGACTCGGCCGTCCTGAACTCTGCCGTTACATAACAGGACCCAGACTGTCCACCTCTGAACGCCGCCTCACTGGACAGGTGTTAACTATTCGTCGGGGCTATTTATAGATGAACATCCACTGCAGGTAGTGAACCGTCTGTTTCAGTTTGTCTCACGCTGTTTCCTTTTTGTTCACTTATTTTTTGTCACATCTTGGAAAAATGAACAATTGAACTTTATTCAGCGACCTACAACTCCATTTACTCACTTTTATCCAAAGTAACTTAACATGTGAGGAACAAAATACAAGCTTCAATACCGTAGAGATCCACGACAACAGGTGCAGCAATAAATACTACTAAGAGCTTTTAGCGCATACAACATCAATAGTATGAAGTAGAGCTTTTTTTAAAAAAAAAAAATCGAATTACAATTTGATTTGCGGTTTGTTTTGTTTTTTTAATCGAAGTTTTGCTAAAGTTCAATATTTATGGTCTACCTGTCTGTCTATTTTTGACGGAAGTCGTGTCAAGCAGCACAGAGCAGGTGAACCGGGCAGGAACGGCATGGAAAATCCGAGTAAAATAAAAATCAAAATAAAACACCCTTTGCAGACTCCGATCGTAGATCAACAATAAACACAGTTAAAACAAAAAAAGAAAAATGGTATGGCAGAAGCACAAAAATCAAGGACAACCGAACAAATAAGCAAAATCTGAACAAGTCAGCAAAATCAGACTGACAAAACGCTCTTATTCTGAAATGCTCCGTGTGGATACGTAACGTTAGCCTGCAGCGAGCGGAACAAAGAGCTGCTAGCCGTAGCTGAAGCAGGCTGAACGCTCCGCTGCTGAAACACTGCGGCGAGAGTTGTCAGACTGGGAATACTGTACGATCACATTCAACTACTCGCGACACGCCGATCAATATACTGCAATATTCTACAGGAAACACGTAAATAGAAAATATCCCTTTGTTCTTAAAGTAATCCCTGTGTGTAATCCTCATTTATACAAAATGTACCTGTAATCCGATTATTTTCTGTACTGTAACGGAATACAGTTACTTTATTTTTGTATCCTGATTACGTAATGCCGTTACATGTAATCTGTTACTTCCCAACCCTGGTCCTTCGTCACATCATCACTTAACGCGTCGACCTGAGAATTATGCATCACAAGTGAAAACAGCGCTCCGCGTGCTGTTGAATCGAAACCACAAAAAAAGAGGCTGGAGATAACATACAGCTCTGTGAGAAGACCTCGGATTTGTTTCCAAACACTGAACCACAGAGCCAGAAGATGCTCCACTCTCGAGTGCGCTGCTGCCTCGTCAGCGAGCGTCAGAATTTCTTCTTCACGGGTTCAAACACGTATTAAAAAGCCTGAATAATCATCTGAGTGTGAGCTGTTGTAAAGGCCAGACACTGCAGCTAAAAAGATTTAATACATATCACCATGAAACCTTCCTAGTCCTTTTGGTATCACAGGTTTTATGACATTTTAAGTTAAAATATGCAAATGAGGCAGTATCTAATGAAATATGCACTGAAGTGAAATCTGAACACTGGATTAGGTCAGGTTCAAATTGTTGTTGACATATTATATTTAAACCTTTTTTTTTTACAGAGGGAATTTTGGACAAAAAAAAAAAGCATTAAAAAGCAGTTTTTGCCATGTTTTTGGGGAATAAAATGTTCTATAATTCAGGCTATGAATTATATATGAACAAACCCCTCTGTACAAACCTGCAGAATAAAGTCAGGAATGAAACTGGAAAAGTTTGGTGTCTAAAAGCTGCTGAAGTTTAGATTTCAGGCTCAGAGGACGAGAAAAAAACGACCTTTAAAACATAAATATTGTAAAATTCAACACGTTTTCTTAAAAATCAATATGTGCCGAGCCGATATCTAATCATATCCTTTACAAGATCACAGAAGATCTAAAACGCATCACACTGATACCTGAGTTACAGTCTCACAGGCGGAAAGCACGCCACGTGACGCATCTAAACCAATAGATGGAGACATAAAACTTTATTGAAATTGCGTTGTTGCAGCATCAACATTGACACATAATTTACAGACCAGACGTATTTACACAAACTAACATATAATGTACAAAATGTCCTTTTTAAAAAATGTATATAAAAATATCAGGTGAGAAATCGACACTGGGATGTCGATGTCGAGATTTCACGCCTCCGTACTTTCACGATGTTGTTGGTACAGAGGAAATGACCATATTAGGGTGCAGGAGAGAGAGAGATGCACAGAGACAAACTGCTGAACTACTAAATGTGAAGTTTTTTTCTTCCACACGGCCAAAAGAAGCAAAACTGCCCAAAATCTCTGAACTGAGCCGTGCAAGATGAACGTGTGGAGCCTTAACAGCTGATCACACCGTTCAGCAGTGAAAGCGGCCGAGTGTGAAAGGCAGGCGGGCGCTCGTTGAAGAGAAATCACACGTTTCACTTTAACACCTTCTGAGGGCTCCGGAGCCGACTCCTGATC